CAGCTGGGTGAGTTTCTTCTCATCTCTGTCGGTGAGAGCTCCGACAGCGGGCGAGGGATTCCGCTCGCCATTGTGGATGGAGATTTGTTTGGAGTGGTGGTCTTGTTGATTCGCAAGGGATGTACCTGAACATCAGTCAGAGACATTTTGCCCAAGAAACAGGGCAAGTGGCGCGGGTCTACATACCGATTCAGTAGCCATGGGAGCTACAGTCGTGATAACTAATAAAGTCGCAAGTTTCAGGGTGAGCGACTATCAACGCATTGGTATGCGAGTCAAGTATACACAATGAAAATGAATCAGAGGAATGTCAAATCAATATCGCGGTGAAGGCGAGACTGAGAATGAATGCAAGTAAGAAAATGAGACCCAAAGTGTAAGTGAAAAAGAATACACCTGAACAGCTCTATCAAAGGCTCGACTCGGCTCGACTCGACACTCAGCACAACTTCCACGATGATGCTGTAATGTTATGAAAGTCGCAGGTTGACTATGAGTTGTGACTATGGCGAGTTGATGTGTTTAAGGGAAGCACAGCAGGTCGAACGAGGAGTGAATATGATTGGACGAAGAGAAAACAAACATGGAAAGCGTTGCCTGGGAGACGCTGTCCAGTTGCGAGCTAAAGTCGGACGTTGGAGGCGCTAATTATCTTGCTACAATGCAGCAGGCTACCCCGCCCCTGCTGGAGCAGCTCCCCTCCAAGGACGTCCAAGGACGGTCGAGAACTACCTGCAGCGTCAAGCCAGCATCCCTTCACAGCGTTGCAGCAGGTCAGTCGCCATGGCAGCAACGCAACCAGCCGCACAGAAAAAGCAAGTAATTGGTTGTTGAGATCTAGCATAATCCTTGAATATTTCTGAGACGCCATGTTTACTATGCGAGCTCTACTCAAAAGCTATGTTGCTTATCGAGGCCGGGTGGCTTTTTCGAGTGGCTTTGAGCTTTGAGCTTTGTTGTTTTTCTTTCCCCAATCTACTGCTATTCCCTACCCTAAGCTTGTACCTCTGCTAATTATTATTCTCTCATGACGTTTTCCTCTCACTGTTTTTTCGCTTCCGTTTCACCCCTGGCAATGGGGAATGGGGAAAAGCTGGGCTGCCCAACATGGAAGTTAGGTACTAAGTTAGCATGTACTATAACTCATCGGTCCCGTTTGGCAGGTCGCCGACTGCAAGTCTACTGCACCTCAAAACTTGGAGATGCATCTCAGGATGGAGTTTTAGTTTAGTGACAGATCTTCAGTCACACTCACATGGGATTCTTATTTTCCTCGATGCAACTTTTCTTTTCCACTTGGAAGATCCCCCACCAAAAGTCAAAAATAAAATCAAAAAGTCTCCGCTAAGCTAAAGAGGACGGGATTCTCTTTGCCCATTTTGGATGTCTTGCATCTCGATCTTCCCGAGCGCCAGACGAGGCTATTCTGGCACTAAACCCGGCATTGTGTGGTCCTTTTGAAAGGTATATCCACCCTGGTTATCTCTGTGCTTTTTTCATGGATGTTTGTTTCTATGAATTTGCTAGGTTGTTAGGTTGTTTACAACCAAAACCTGGGTGCGGCTGCTCTTGTTTTCCCTCCCTCGGTCCCTCGCACTGACCCTGCTTCTTCCCCACGGGCCCATTGTATGCCTCTGAGCCTATTGCTTGGCATCCGATCATTACAATCCATCGTGATTTCGATCAATACCTACCTGGTGGACCTGCATCGACTATGACGAAATCTCCGTTGTCTGGCCAGGCTTGTATAAACATCACCAGATCTATATCAGCTCGGTTAAATAGTTCAAGAAAGTGAGCTTTTTACTGCCGACTTTAGTTAGTAACATATTGTTAGCTCACCCAAAGCCATGGAAATTCTTGAATTGCTAATACAATATTATTATGCTACTATTACCTCACCCAAAGCTATGGATGTAAACAACATGATTGTTGTTGTGTTTCACAACCTGCATGCGGCTGCACTGACACCAACACTTATAGATGCATTCAAGTGGTTCATAAGCGATTCTATTTTCTTTGTCTAGTTGTTTTGCTTCTTGTTCCAAGCGACGCAATCGTCAAACTTGACACCCGAACCTCCAAAACAATCCAAGGCGCTTCCGATAGTCAGATCCACCTTGCCGTTGCTGAGCCTCTTTACATTTTCCAAGTCTTCAAGATGTCTACCACCCCCTGCATAAGTGACTGGGATAGAACACCATTGGGAAAGTCGTTCCACTAGCTTCTCGTCGACTCCCTTCTGAAGACCCTCGTTGTCTGCGGCATGGATCAAGAACTCGGAACAGTAAGGCTCCAATAGTTTGATAGATTCTGCAACTTGTGAGTCACATGCTTGCAGAAGTTTGTTTTCACTTACCTTGGTTGACTTCCATGTCCGTGATTGTCTGCCATTTGTTCATGGCCACAAACCAAGAGTCCTCTCCACGACGACGGCAACTGAGGTCAATGACAAGCTTGTTCTTATCACCACCGAGAGCTTCCAACACCGCATCGAGTCTTTCCTGACTAAACTTGCCCTCCGGAAATAGGTACGAGGTAATAATGACCTGTCGAATAGTTAGATCAACTGTCTGTGCGTGACGCTTCCGATGTAGTACCTTCTCGGCTCCCGCATCCATCCATTCTTTTGCGTTCTTATCGTTGATGCCGCCTCCGACTTGGAGACCTCCAGGCCATGCTTGCAGAGCCTCTTTAGCTGGTCCGTCGTTGCCGGGTCCTAGCATAATAACATGGGCACCATGAAGCTCATTGTCCCGGTAGAGCTGAGCGAAATGAGCAGGGGGGTGTTGAGAGACATAGTTTGTTTGCAGAGCGGCGGAAGTACTGTCAAGGGTACCTCCAACGATCTGCTTGACCTGACCAGCGTGGAGGTCAATGCAGGGTCGAAATTTTGTCATATTGAATGAATGATGTTTGCTTTGTTGAATCAAAGAAAGATTGAACTACATGGTACTAGATAACGTAGTCAATGTCCCACAATGACAGAAAATCGCACAAAGGTGGGGTAGCTTGGAGCTTTGAGCTCTGGACAAAGGGTTCAAAGTCAATTCAATTTCAAACCTATTAATTGAAACATGAAATACATACTGACCGTTTCAGCCAATGGTGGACAAAACTGTCTCATAACTTATATCAAGTCATAAACCGATAAACCGTCTTTTCAACCTCCTTTGAGTTCTCCGCAATGCATTTGAGACAGACTATGGCTCACTTACAGTCCAATGCGAGGAATTGCTGTTTCAGCCAAGCTGTTGTAAAGCAATTGAGTGATGAGTTCCCTTTGTTGTTCTTGAGTCTGTCCAATTGACCGCACTTGGCATGCTGTGCGAGCTGAGGTGGGTTCCTAGAGGGTGTTGATGAATTTCGTGATGAAATCCATACTCAACGTCACTCATCGCTGCACGTCAATCCAATCAATACATGCCCGACCAATCATTATATGACTGATGATCATCAATCGATCATACGGATGTAACTGTACATATATGCTTTCCTAAGATCTATGACGGTCATTCCTGCACATTGAGTAGAGCGAGACGCAAGCTGGTTGCTGATTGAAAGACATACGCCAGATAAACGTCATTCAACAATTAACATAAATTATTCCAACAACCACAGAAATCACCAGTTCAACTACCCACCTACCTAGATAACAAGATATCTCACTTTCACACTAAGAATCATGTCTGATAAAGGCTCTATCAATCTGGCACTGTCCAAGAGACAACCTCTGCTCAAAGACAAAACTGCCGCTGGTGACAACCAGTCCCTCCTCCCAAAGGCAACCAAGACTCATCCTAAAGGTAGCAAAGGTGATGAAAATGCAAATGTCTATTTCATCGGAACGGCGACCACCATAATCGAATGGCAAGGCTTTCGTCTTCTCACAGATCCAAACTTCCTTCATGCTGGCGATCACGTTCATCTCGGTCCCGGTGTTACTGCTCAACGACAGACCAACCCGGCGGTTGACCTACATGAACTGCCTTCGCTGGACGGGATACTTCTCTCACATTATCATGAGGATCATTTTGATCGACTGGTAGAGGATTCCCTCAATAGAGACTTCCTGATTGTCACCACTCCGCATGCCCATCAATGCTTGACTTCAAAAGATCCCCCCTTCACCAACGTGAAGGCACTCGACTTTTTTGATCACTTAAAGATGAAGTCCGATGATACAGAAGCTGGAAAGCAAGCTCCGGTGATCAATGTCACTGGTATGCCAGGCAAACACGTTCCTCCTGGTCCCTTAGCAGCACTGAACAACCTCCTCGGTGCAGTTCCACCTACTAATGGCTGGATGATCGAACTTGGTTATCACAACAGCGGAGAGGACAAGGTGCAAACCGGCTACCGTATCTACATCTCAGGAGACACTCTTCTTGTGGATGAGCTAAAAGATATTCCAAAGTGGCTTCAAGATGAACGTATCGACTTGATGTTGATACACTTGGGAGGAACTACCATCCCTGGGCCGTCCGCACCCTTGATCATGGTAACTATGGATGCGAAACAAGGAGTTGAGATGATCAAGATGATGAATCCAGATGTCACCATTCCCATTCATTATGATGATTACGACGTATTCATGTCACCGCGAAAGGATTTCGAGAAGGCTGTGAAAGAGGCTGGGTTGGAAGACAGAGTTGTGCTCCTTGACAGAGGGGACAGATATGAGTTTGCCGTCAGGAATGACTAGTCACTGTATTGTTATACCACTTCAATCGATGAATTAAAAGTCAACTATGCCAGTTGCAATCAACCTGCAGTATATCCTACGGGGCTTGTTCAATATGTGCAGTATGGAAATATTGTATAACACGTACAGACAACATCTAACCGCTGCTAGCATATATGAGTAGGCAGCTCAGTCATGGTGAGCAGCGCAGTCCAGGTCAGGAAACCATGACATCTTACGAAAGCCGTTCGCATCCAAAAGAGAATGATTGCTGGACCTCGAGAGATGTGAGAAACAAAAAGGGACCTCAAAAAGTAGGTCGAACCGGGGATTGAACCCGGGACCTCCCCGGCGCTAGATTGCTCCAACTGTGAACGGGACGTGATAAACCACTACACCATTCGACCTAAGCTCTTTTGTTGAGATTAGCGGCAGAGAGATTGATCTATGTTGGACGCAATGACCCTGGCCTCAATTGACCTTTTGTCGAGACGATCAACGTTGAGCTGCTGATAAACCTTCTGTACTATACCTTCCTTCTTCCCAGCACCTTGTGGCAAGCTGTAAGCATAAATGGTAAGTATACTAAAGTCCTCTTGAAAGTTTTGTTTCACATATTTGGGAGTGGCTGTTGGCAGCAAATACACTGATTGTAAAATCGTTCGTTGCACACCAATGGATAGAGACACCACTGTTAAGAATTGTCTGAAGGGATCGGAATAAGGGGATGAAGCATGTTCGACATGAACTGATATTGTTCTTTTGATTAACTATCTTGATTTAAAGCGGTCTTCCGATCCATCGCCTAAGACAATACATCCATGTTTCCAATGACAGCCATGTTATTTTCCAAGAGGCCATTGGCTATACAACTTGAGTTCGTTAATTAATGCTCTGTCTGAGGAATGGAAACCTCATCATATAGCGGTAAAAGACACATGGTTTCTTGGTAGAGTAACATCTATGAACTAAAGCTGGCTCTTGACCAGATTCTTTCCCCATATCCTAAGCTAACATATTGAAACATTTGTCGCCTCTCGACTGTATCTTAAGCCCTGTCATGTCTTAGACCGCTACTACCTACTAAAGTACCTAGTGATCGATCGTAGCTCGGATATGAGCTGCCGCCGTAATGACGTTGTCTGACTGTTGCTGTAGGTAGCTAGGTCTGACGAGCCAATTAGATTGTATCGCTGCGCACCCAGGCCGCGAAAGCTGAGGGGCTCTGACCGACTTCTATAGTGATGAAGACTCCATTCTCGGGCATCAACATGAGCTACATCACTTCCTACTACTTTTGATATTTTTTTAGTCTTGTTGTTATCTTACTGGCGATATTGCGACAAACATTTTGGCATGCGCCACACCCAAAACTCTTCCGCGCATTTGCTGTAGGCCTGCGGCCTTAACCGACCATGCCAGACCGCAGCCCCTCATATGATTCTCGCGATAGCTCTCCAGAGCCAGAGCGCAACCGCGACCGCGATCGCCCCGTCGAACGCGAAAAGGGTCGGGATAAAGAAAAAGAAAAGGAACGAGATCGCGCAAGGGATCGGGAAAGAGACCGAGAGAGAGACAAGGAAAGAGATCATTACCGCGACATGGAGAGAGACTTGGACAGAGATATAGATCGCGACATTGATCGCGATGTTGACCGCGATATTGAAAGAGACCGTGATCGCGACTATGAGCGAGACAAAGAGAGGGAAAGGGAGCGAGAAAAGGAGAAACCCCGCGACAGACCTTTAACGGACAAGAAAGAGAGAGAACGCGAAAAGCCTGTGGATGATAGAAGAGAAAAGGAACGCAGCAAACCGATAGACGACAGAAACGACAGTCGTGATAGTTCCCCAGACGACAGGAGAGATCGAGACCGCTTCAAACCGTTAAACGGCGGAAAGAATAGCCGTGATAAGTTATCAGATGATAGAAGAGACCGGGATCGCAACAAGCCGCTCAGTGACCGGATGGATAGCCGTGATGTGTCACCGGATGACAGGAGGGATCGCAGCAAGCCGCTCAGTGATCGGAGGGATAGCCGCGATGTATCGCCTGACGACAGGAGGGACCGCAACAAGCCACTCAATGACCGAAGGGATAGCCGCGACGTATCTCCAGACGACCGAAGTTATCGAAGGCCACTGGATGATAGAAGAGACAGTCGTGACATATCACCAGATGATAGAAGGGACCGAGATCGTAATCGACCACTCGACGACAGAAGAGACAGTCGTGACAAATCCCTCGACGGAAGAAGAGATAGTCGCGACTTTGGAAAAGACAGAGACTATGATGACCCCAGAGACAGAGATTACGACACTGGCAGAGACCGAGATTATGATATCGGAAGGGACAGAGATCCTGTCAATGGGAGAGATCGAGATAGGCTCAGAGACCGGGACATCGACAGAGATAGGCGTCGCGACAGCCGTATCCCTCCACGTGTGGCACGAGAACCGCGAGAGCATCCTCCATCTGCTAGCAAGCGAAATAGCATTACAGGCCGCCTACTTGGATCTTTCAGAGCAGCTCGTGGTGGCGGGGACAAGGATAAAGAGATCCCCATACCATCAGTAGCAGCCTCGGTTCAGCGTCGCGCCTCTGCAGCTGTCAGCAAAGGTAGTCCAGTCACCCGCATCCGCGAATGGCTCGATGCTTGCAACGCTGAGCATCACCATCACTGCGCCGTCTCATCGGAGACTGATATCAAGACCTGGCGACCTACATGGCTTATTGATGTTGTCGATCGTCGCCTGGTTAAAGCGACTCCCAAAGATCGTTATCTGGCTCTCAGTTATGTTAATGGATCTCACCGCAACGAACCACTGGAATATATGCAGCTGCTCAAGTCAAACCTGGCAGCTTTCGAGGATCGCTTACCCAACCTTGATATGCCTCAGACCTATTTAGATGCTATGTGGCTTGCAAAGAAGTTAGGGATTCGACACATCTGGATTGATCGGATCTGTATCACTCAGGATAACCGAGAGGAAATGGACGATCACATCAAACATATGGCATACACCTTCGCCAATGCTTACCTTGTGATCGTGGCAGCTTCTGGCGACATTCACAGCGGACTGCCTTCCCTCGACCCAAAGCGAACATCATCACGAGGCATTCGAACCACTGGTCGTACTCACCAAGAGCTAGTCGCAGCTTCGACATGGTACACCAGAGGCTGGACTCTTGTCGAGCGTATCTATTCTCGACGCTCGGTCTTCTTTTTCGAGGATTCGATGACTTGGGAGTGCCACTGCGAGACCTGGCAGGGAAGTCCAAACAGTGTTATGAAGAAGCTTCGAGGAGGTCGTCAGGAGTGTATTGGCAGTATTCCCGATGCTGCCTTTGCATTCCAGCATCCACCTTGGCCTGATCTGGACGAGTACGCTCGCTATGTTATGGAATACAGTGCACGGAAGTTGACGCTTGTCGACGATACACTCCCTGCGTTTGCTGGAATTACTCACGTACTTTCTCGATCTTTCCCTGGCGGTTTCATCTACGGCATGCCTATTATGTTCTTAGACATTGCTCTGCTTTGGAGACCTCATGCTTCCATTCGAAGAAGAGCGCTCTCCCGGCCACCTTTCCTTCCCTCGTGGTCTTGGATGGGTTGGTGGTTTGATAACATTCCAGTCGATTTAACCTTATGGAGAGCTGCTGCAGACTATGTCGAAGAAGCTCGAACTGGAAAACGCGGCCAAGAATCGAAGCGGTACCGTTCCGCACATCCTTTCAGGATCAGACCAACCGTTTCGTGGAGCTTGACAGATCGTGCTGCGACTGTTCCAGTCATGAACACCGGCCTACAGTATCAACATCTCAGAGGTCGTCGCACCCCTAACGCGGACCTTCCTCCGGATTGGGTCCGCAGCGGCTCACACTATATTCATGAGAGCGACGAAACTGCGACGTTCAAGTACCCCATCCCTGTCGAAGATCCTGTGGAGTCGGGTGGTTATGAGCCTGCGGTGGGCGAACAAGCCTATCCAGGGCCGTTACTTTCGTTCCGAACAACTTCCGGTTTCTTCGAGGTCGAGTTCCATACTACCCTGGCCCATCGCGAACGACCTAACCCACCACTCGCTGTGGGTAAGATCTGGAGCAAGGGCAATAAGTGGGCAGGTCAGTTCCGTGCTCACGATGCATGGTTAGGCATCCAATCTTCCAACTACGATGGTGAAGAACGTCTTGAGTTCATCGCCATATCAACGGCCACAGAGCGTCGTGGTTCTCACGTCTTCGACACGGACAAGTTTGAAGAGCACATGGACGCAGATGATATGGTCGACTTTGTCAATGTCCTTTGGATCGAGCGTATTGGAGATATTGCATACCGACGAGGTGTTGGGCAGATCTTGCTCAAGGTTTGGGAGACACAAGCTAAGGATGAGGTCGCAATTCTACTTGGTTAAGAGAACAAGACACTCGGTTAGCGCGGTGTAGGCGTTTATGTGACAATGAATTGTACAAAATGTATCTAGTATTTGGGATAGGAAATAGTTCTGGTGCGAGCCAGACATGATATTTTATGGATTCAAGGGTTGAATTCACGGATTTAGATAGGTAGCTAAAGAATATTACTGTACGTTGGTCTGAGACTGCTAGTTGCATCTTCCTGTCTCACTGTCGATACCATGTATGAGGTTTACTCATAAAGATCATCTCTCTCTTGTCTCAACTTTCGGGCTGGTGCAGTAATGTCTCCGAGTCAGCCGAGCGAGTTACCGCATTCCTAGTTGCTTACGCGGACACAGCATCAACAAGGCCCGAGGTCGGTCATCCTAATAGCCACAGTTCAAGGACTGGACCCGTCTTTGACCATGTGGGTTTCCGTAGATGTCTCGGCATTTTTCTGAAGAATGGCTGGAGCCGAACAAGCCGAGCGTTGTGGGACGAAAGTGTGGGAACTCGATCGAGACTTACATGATCAGTTGTGAATAGCCTCACTAGGCAGATGTCACAAGAATTGTCTTCTAAGACTTAGGGCGCCAACATAAAGTAGCCTAAGTGGTAGTCTAAACTTTCTCAAGGTAACCAGATTATTTCGGCTCTTATGCTCTCGGCGGCCAAGTCTTCTGACACCCTGACGAAGGGTATATGTCTTTGATAAGCAGATAGAGCTTTACTCATACATTGGTTGCATTGTGGCTGAGAATGTAATCAGTTTGATTGACATTTATACAGAACAGAAGTGATTATGCATTGATACTTTGGGAGTCTTGGGGATGAGGGTTTAGTTAAGAGTGTATGTACTCAATCTGCTGTACTCACATCCGGCCTGGCAACTTAACTTGGCATCTTAAGAAAGACTGCTCTTAGTTAGAGTGACAACAGTCTCGAAGAGTTATCCCGAATATACTGCAAGTTCTCTTACCACCCACCAATTGTAAATGGTTGGTGA